TTCATAACTGTATGAACTGAGTTCACATTTCACATTAGTTAGCTAATAATGTGACTTCCTGTAGGTTCTGCTTGACGACGATAAGAAGAAGTGACAATGAAAGCTTGATTGTCACAGCCCAGTTATCCTTGTTTTTAACTTTTCTTGTAAAACTTCAAAAATAACACTCAAAAAGACTTGGAAGTCATGCTTTTACTCCGCCGAGTGGCGAATTTCGATGACAAATTAAGTGGTGAATGGTTTACCTTATTTCAAGTTAGATGGAATGAACTCAGCTAGATAACTATAGAAAACCAGACAGTACTCTACCCTAGTTTGGGTCTGTTCAACAGAGCAGGGATCAAGGCGAAGACCTTCGGAGTATTGGGACAGAACCTAATGGCCCAAGAATTCTAACTTCTGTCAATTAATCGAATCCCTGTGAACCAACACCTGAACATTTATATAGTCTTACTAATTAAATTTAGAAATTTTATTCACCCACCTTAGTTGCCACTAATGCTGTAAATAATGCCCAAGACATGTTCAATGAAATGAGTTAGTAGTTACTGTTGGTCTAATCAAAAGACTTTCCCTAAGTCCAATTTCGTTCTCTACCGGTGGAGGTAGTTTACTTAGGGAAACATTGCGTTAAAAGCCAGCTGTAGAAATTCGTTAGACTTGATGACTATGACACGTGACTAGGCTAATACGTGAAAAGTGTGATTTCTGATGAAATAACAAAGAAGGATTCTCGAAAGACATAATTCAATTCTTACAATAAAATTCCGATTGTACACTTGGTCTCATTTTACTTAACTCGTTAGCGTTGAGTACAGCACTCAAGGTGTCGGTAAACTTCCACATATATTGCAGGAATCCTACTTAATTGAGATTTTAGCAACTCTTATGATGGTTCATCCCAATTATACGCGTAGTAAAATGCCAGACGGTGAATTGGTATATATAACCGAAGATATGAGACTAATCAGATCCACTCTAATGCTTATTATTATTGCCCTGGCTTCCGAGTGGAACATAGGGCTTCAACGGCACATCTCCGCTTTGTTCTCTTTTCTGCTGTCGTCTTCAGTTGGTTCCATGATCTCTCATCTCCTCTTCGCACGATCTCCTCCATGTGACGCTAGGACAACCGACTCATCACTTCCCATTTGGATTCCACTAGAGCTATTGCTTGGCGCGCAGTGTCATTCGGCGGCCTCCTCAACGAGTGCCCGTTCCATCTCCACTCTCGCCTACAGATTTGTCGAGCAATAGGCTGTTGGTTGGTTTCTTCCCAGCCAGAGTTTCTTGTTGGCAATTCTTTCTGGCCGGTCGGCCGGCCATTTCACCTTCAATATGGAGCCAGTAAATGGGGCGGTTGTTGATTAGAGTCTGCAATGAGCTGTTCAAAATCCTTTTCGTGCCATGCAGTGCAAGTTTCTGACCCGTATAGAAGAACTGACCGACTCCACATTAGTGTTGAACAGAATCCGAATCTTGTTCTTTATGCCGCGGAGTGCAGAAGATTTCCAGACTGGTTTCGGGTTGACGAAGGCGTAACTTGGCTTTCCGATCCTGTTTGGCCTTGATATTTTCATCCGTTCCGACTGTCTGTGGTTGAAACGATGCTTCCTAAATAAGTGAAGGAGTTAATCTCTGTCAAATCTGTCGCGTTGATGGTGATTGGTGGTTGTTGTTGTTGCTGCTGCTGTTGGACGCGGTTATGTCCGATATAATTATGCGATATATTCTGTTTTATAAGTTTGCAAGTGTCTTGAATCGTGGTTGTATTAATAGAAGTGGATAATGTGAGAATGACGCCACCTTTACTCAACTACACGCATGCAGTGTCACTGATTGTCACTCACATGTGACATCAATCCGAACTGGAATATTGAAAGAACAGTAATTTGTTAATGGTCTGCCGAATCAAAATATTAAGAAAGGAGTTATTTACTGGATGATCTTCCTATTTAGCTCCTTCATCGTCACATTGATTGTAATTATGATAATATATTCTCATATTTTGTACATGAGGGACGCCAGTTTACATGCATCATCAGTATGGTAAATTACATATACGATTAGTAAACATATTTAATAATGATATAGTAAAATCCATATTTATTCCTACCCATGTAGGACACACCAATTTTACAGGCATGAATAAGTATTATTTAAATTGCATAGACTTGGTTTATGGTGAAATTACATGGTTGTTGCCTGTTTTTGTCTTTGGTTTGTGGGAACAATCTGTTAACTGGTCATTCAATGGAGCACATCAAGAAATATAGAAATATTGTCTTCGCACTAATGAAAGAAACCCAAGTATGTTTTGGATGGATTACAAATACTTGTAAAAAATATGGCTTGAAGTCAATCTCATCGACCGACAAATTGTCAAATGATCTAAGACAGAAGGTAAACTACGAAGATGGTGTTTCGATACATTCTACAAACCTGAAATTGTCGTCTGAGAAAATGACTCAATTTGGTTTAGAACAATCAAGCGTATTCAAAACAGAAATCATCATACATCAACTAAGCAGCTAAGCACTCAATGACAGATATTTCCCCGGGAACTGGTGAAAATGGATTCAGATAAAGAATCATTCACTTTTCTTCTTAATCATAGAGATAACAACGGCCACTTTCAGCCACTAACAGAACAAAAATTAATTCTTGACGAATTCAAAGTAAGTTATTACTCTAATTTCAATCATTCTAAAGATGATAGCTGTATTCAGGCGCAATTTTAAATACCTATTAAATGTCAGTAAATAAGTAACGTGCACTACCTTAAGACTGATTTGATCATAGACCAACAGGAGTAGAGGAACTAACTACTGAGGACCAAGGCACACTGAATACCTGTTTCCTCTAAGTTTAGGGCTTTTCAGTATTGTGCACCCGTCAATCCACGAGGGTATTCAGGCTGAGATTATCACCTTATTACTCAGAAGCTGGATAGGGGACTACATAACCAAGATGTTTTCAGTGCTCATCAATATGAGTACTGAGTGCACTGACATATCATGTCTTATTTCCATGATTGTTTATTGTGACACTATTAAAACGCGCGAGCACCTAGTGTTAATACTAGCAATCAAACGCATTCCTGGAGTTTCATACTCCGAATAAATTTAGATGCATACTTAGACAATGACCATAAGGGTGAATGCATTCAGGTTTATTCACGTACACTTACCACATTGCTTTTAAATTTATCAGCACAAAGTATATCAACAATTCGTTTAAATAAAATGTCCACAACTTCAATATTTTGGCTACAAATAGCCGTTAGGAGTGCCGTCTTTCCATCCAAATCCTTCAACTACGGGAAACAAAAGAAGCCATCTTCAAATCGACTAACAAATACAAAAATGGCACACTGCCAAACTTCTTTACCACTTCCGCTATTTCGGCAAAATTTCCATTTCAAAAATCAAATTCTTTATTTAGTAAAACACACTAACTTATAGAAAATCAACCAAGTTTTCCTATCTCCTGCATATCTATGCAGTAACTGTTCGCATCTGTAAGATGCATTTTGTCACTGGAACGAGCAGTGTACTTAAAATTTTGATTGTTTCCATAACAATTCAATATTTTGTGTTACACTTACGATATACCCAATCAAAAAAAAAATAAGTTTTCTTCATTTTAAACAAGGGTAGATAAACTTGACCATAAAACACCTTTATTCGGGAAAATCTTTCAGATGTAACTGTATTGGCATTGTTGTTTAAGTCATTATTTTTACAGCTAAGTACATTCCACTGAAAGATGCTATTCAATGCAGTCACTGGCATATTTAAAGTTTCTATTTCCACTAATTTTGTGTTTTTATGTTGTTTTTTTATGGGAGCCATCACCTTATACAAGGCGACAATACCTAACAATGCGGGTTTCAAAAATTCACCTATTTTATAACTGAATCAAGTGTTTAAAAATTACACACTTCAAAGATACATGTTGTCCTGAGTTTCTGTGGAAACAGAAAGTGGATCAGAACACAACATACTGTGGTCTAACCAACACCATAGGTACCACCAACAGCACAGACAGGCGATCAGCTTGTTAAATACTATCGATTTTTATTAACAGTTGGTAGTCACTAGCTGTCATCAACTTCAAACAACTGAAAAACACTGTGTGGGATTCCACTCATTCAGTACCCGGTCTATCCAAAGAAGTTGTGAATTTATTCAAAAAGCTGACTCCTCCAAGCTATATGTATTTACGTAAACCACTTGAGAGTAATGAAGACACATGTAAGAAATTCTGTTTGAATATTAAACAGTTTGATATAATGTCTCATTTTAATTTCCTAATATTCTCAGGAAATGGCGATAATGTGTTTACAACACCTAGGTCTAGGTATCAAGGGCTACAGCTCTATGTGAGTGGCCTCCTGCTACTCATATCAGTCAGTATCATGAAACTATACAGCTTTGCCTTTCTGAAAAATAAATGTCTTCTCAACAGTTCACAAAAGAAAACTCCCTACTTCTCTTCTTGTTTGTCCACGAAAGCTTCAATAATTTCTACTCATTTTTTTCTCCGTATGCACTTCTTAATTATAACATATCGAAATGGTGTAATTCTGTGTGAAGTTTTACTTCATTAGAGTTATCTATCGGACCTTCATTGTTTGATTCCGAAGTGAAGTGGAAGTCTTTCTTCCTGCACTTTGCTTTAGTAGTCATGATGTCAATCTTCCACTTGGGAAAATTACCCTAAGCCACACAGAATATTACCTCACATTCAAAGCAGATATCTCAAGCAAAAGTACCTGAAAAAGACAGTTTTCTGAATATGAAATGCTTCTTATGACCGTAAAACATCTCTTTCTAGAATTCTGAAAGTTCTATTTCCGGTTGAGGTGTGAACTACTGAATATTCTCAAACTAGGAAGTAACAGCTGTCTAATGCTTTCTGGTTTTCGAAGATTCTTACTTTCTGACAAAATCTTCATTGAAACCACGGAAAGTAATAGATGCTTTAAATGAACTCACCTCTGCATTTGCATTGTTTTCAATAAGTTGAAGTGTCGCCTCAGTATTGCCTCTTAAAGCTGTATAGTGCAGAGCAGTACGTCCAGTCTTATCCTTTTTATTTACCTTTACACCCATTTGAATAAGATGATCGATAATCTGGCTACTATCCACGCTACTTTCACTCCGTGACTCTGGTGAATCAGTGTATATTTGGCTATCTGTAGGTTTACTTTTTTCTTCGTTATTTTCAATGCTGGTAGATTCTGTTATTTCCATATCCATCTCTGGCTTAAAATAACACGACAATAAAAGGAACAAGCGCCGGATGAAACATCACAAATATCCCTTATATAGTTTTTATCTTACACAGTAAAACACCACTTCAAGGCTATGCGGACCAATTTTGTGAAATTACAGAGGTGGTAAACGGATTAATGCTAAACAGGTTGCAGTAACAGGCTTTAATTTTGTGAAACAATCATAGTGGTTACATCAAATCCAGCTAGAAATACGTTTGTGCAAAGTGAAATAAAATCACATTTGTCTGATGAACTAAACCGAATGATATTCTGAAATTTCTAGGTATAATAACCGCGTTTACATGACTGATAGTACTCATGATCTACTTTCTCTTCAAAGTCAATGGAAAGTATCTTAAGTTGAATATTACTGTGGAATTTATTAGTCTTCGTTACCACTAAACGTAGAAAGAAACTCCTTCTGGTGAGATGGTGTATTATTTGATGTATGGACATGGTTTATGGCTATTCTTGGTGCTAATTTTGTAGTTCGATGAATAGTTTAGGTAGAACGACACTCTAATTTCTCTGACTCATCTTATATGCAAGGCTTACTTTCTCAGTTTCAAACGATTATTTCTCATAGTTTCATGCTGGTTATGAATTTCTTACATTTTCACAGGGCTTTTATATCAAAATTATCGGATAGCTTTGGAGGTAAAATAAAAATGATAAACTTTAAGAACTGCCAACTACAAATTCGTTTCCAGCAACCTACACCTGTTGTTCTCATATGAGGCACCTAGAATGAGACCTGAAAGGAATCACTGATCCTATGTTTATTCTTGATGGTAATATTTAGTACAAGGAGTTCTCGTATCCGGGTTTGTAAGAGTTGACTTCATTGACATCCAGGTAGATCTCATCACTGATCAACATCACTTAGAGAAACGTTAAAAACCTGGGAGCACTGAACTGCTTGTGGGAGGTATAGATTTCTTGAAGCTGTAATGGGAAGATGTATCCAATGGGGTGAAACATGTAGGCTATGGGGGCAGATACTCGCTGGTGAAACTGGGTGGTTTCGGCGCCATATTATGAACTGACAGAGGTTAATATTCACGAATCATTGGACTACAACCAAACGAAAAATGGCGAGAAGATTCTCCTTGAAGCTGAAGGAGCTAAGATCGATTGCTTATGACTACGTACTTACTGCTGACCAGTTCCAAACTAGGACGAGACAGTTAGTCAATGTCTCTTCAGTTTTCAATGCTTACCAAACAGTAAGCTTTACTAAACACTCTCAGTAGACTTCATATGACAAAACGTGCATAAAAATGTTTAATGGATGCCAAATAAGAATTAGTGAGTGTATTTCAAATTGTCGGAAATCATAACACTGTTTTCTGTGAATAATCATCTGATCTAGTCAATTTCAAACTGCATTGATGTCTGCATTCTGATTCAAAGCATAGAGTAGAGTCACTAGTTGTTCATTCATCCAGAAAATTTCGTCATACCCTGCATTTTCAAATAGGCCCTAAAGAAATGACGTAAATACACATACACAAAAACAGCCCGTTAAAGTGACAAGAGAGGATTTTTAATTTCTCCCAGTTCTTCAGTCATCTACAATGGAGAAAGTATATTGAATTTGTCACACAGAAAATCTAAGAGAGATATCACTAAGAGAGATTTCAAAACTAACTTAAATGAAAATGTAGATACTGTAAGAAAAAAAGTGTGATACACGAAATGAACGAGCTTTTCAAATGTATTAATACAGTAGAGAATAGTGAATTCAATAGGTCACTGTGTCCAGTGAGCATGCTTGAAGCAAGATAATGCATTTCTGTCGGAGTACACTCAGCTAAAACTGCAGTGTACTGAGAGATTATTGCAATATAAAATGAAGCTAAAGATCTCTGTAAAATCCACTTTCATCACTTAGTTGATAAATTTCCACAAACCTGAATGACACAACAACAGAAGCCTCACTGTATTTTGTACTGGCATAACCATGAAAACCAACGAATAACTGACCCTTAATTTCACTCTATTCACTGACACTAGTCAATGTACTATTTTAGTCAGTGATTCACAGACATTACTTCGTCATTATGAAAACTGCTACCGAACAAGTTCTTTCCATTTCAATGGAAGTTAAATTCAGCAGAAAATGGAAAACTGACTGTTTGTATGTGATGAATAGACTGCCCAAGTAGCTTTCCTTATCGGACTGTTCTTAAACTTAGAAGGTGATGGAAGCTGGAGGGTAAATCTTCGGAGAGACATACATGATTCTAGTAGAGCCTATGTGGTTTACTGCACTAAAAGAATGTGAAATACCTGAATTAGCACTTTCATGTATCTCCGAAAGATCAGTTCCACTATGACTGTGCTAAATAAAAAGCAAGTACTGACGAATTTGTATGTGTGAACTTCGATTTTAGACTAATCAAATTACGATATTTTAATTTCATGTGGTTTTCTCTGTCGCTTGAATTCTTGTCTCAATAACTAACTTTACTCGGCTGTATGTGCTATGGAAAGATATTAGATGCTGCGTGTGATCACGATTCATTCATACTGTCTGTCATTGTCATACTCACAGAAGTTTACAGAACGTCAGTAGTTACTCAAAAATCTTCTACTTAGATCACTTCGACCTGGCTAGCAAGTACTGCTGGTTAATGTGAGTAGTATTCAAGTACTCATGCCAATCAATCACTAGTACACAATAACGCTGTACATCGCATCTTGTTTTCTAGTTTCCACCACAAACTTATTCGCTCTATGTACGACACATCATGTCTGAGATAATAGAACAGATACCTACAACATCGGGTGCATTGCCAAGACATTAGGAGAAATAAACATCAAAACTCGTTGTGTGTACATGAGGGTGGATGAATTACTTGCCCGAAGCTTCTAAAATCCCCGAAGTGCATCCTAATACATATTAACGAGAGTTCAGACATCCCATCCAGTACGCACCATTCTCCTCCCAACTAAACGACTTCTTGAAATCAAAAGCAAGTGATATTTAAAAAACATGTATTTAGGAAAGTTGAATAATTCGTTAACATTGTCTCTGAACTAACAAAGGTTAACGAAGAGAAAACTATATCTCTTTCTCGTTAAAGAAAACGGCCTAAAAGAAAAACATATCACATTCTTAGATTGAACTAGTTTAATGAACGTTTTCACATTACCTTGTTCTGGGCTCGACATCTTCAAACTTTTCATCGAGCATATTTCTCGATGTCCACCGGATAGGTGGTAGAAACGGACAGAGTCGACGCATTTCGTCCAGGAGTAACATAAGCGCATCCACTGAGAGCGACCTGCACATTGTTAAAAACTCTTCCGGGGAAATCGGCGGGACGTCGTCTTCCGGCTCGTCTGAATCTTCAGATGACGAAGATGGAATACTGCGGTTATACGAGTCCATTGAATCTGGCTATGAAAAGCATGAAAATGCGTACTAAAGTGTGATACGTCACAATACGGGCACCAATTCTTAAAGGCAGACATTTAGTAAACTTACAAACCCTGAAGTGAAGACAGTTAGCAATGGAGAGCACTCACCAACCTGAGAACCAACGTTCACGCACACAATTTGTTTTCACAGGCTATGTCCTAATACAAAACATTTGATGCATTTAAAGTCCTCATGTGTTAGTGAATAATAGAGGGCGATGATCGTGATGCATGAATAATAAAATCAAAACGAGTATTATGACTCATCATTTCATTTAGTACTCACTCGATAAGTAAAGAAACATGTGTGACGCAAACTCAACTTCATCAATTGTACCAGGACAGCTTATATGAAAATCCTCCATGGTGCTTATTCCGAGCATTTCAACTAATTTCACGACCGAAACTCTTTTCCATCACGTATTTATCATCGTTCTAGAATTCGTATGATTTCCGTTGGTTTAATTCCTATTATTTGTCGTGGATTCTGGCTGATTCATAATTTTGATCCTTCCCTTTTATGTTGTATGATGGTGTTGATAATAGCGCGCTGTTTTTTGGCTGCAGTTTTGGGCCAATGAAATCAGGCGTAGGCCATGGGATGGCCACCTGACCTTAGGATGACTGAGGGTAACGTATTTCGTTTCATTCGACTGTTGGAGACAGAGTTCAGATCCCATCTTGTTGGGAAGATTATCAATGATTCCTGAGTACTTAACTGTTGTGCTTGGTTAATTATTCTTGACATGTAGCGCGTATTTCGTACCTGGAGAGTTTCTGGAGTGTATTGCCGGTGAGGGCGCATTGTTGAGGTAGGTCTGTATTTTTTAATATAAGCTTTCACTGTTCATCGGTGCCATAGTCTACATCACATTCGCTGCGTTTCGACATTTGTGCATTACAGGTCTTGACGGTGTCTTGGTGGGTGAGGAATTCTGACCAGTTATTTAGTAGAAGGTGTCGATCATCATCATGCCTTAAGACGGAAATACTTAAGGTCTTAGTGGGGAAAGCTGCCGTTGGTTGATCGTTTAACTCAGGAAAGTACGTCTACAGATGCTGAACGCTAGGTAAGAATCAATGTGTTCTGTTCCTTCATAAGGAATTGTCAGATTTCGATAAAGACAAATAAGACAGCTGTCATTACAGGACAGAAGCAATATCTATCTTGTCGTATGCCACTTGGATTCACGAGTGGACATCTTACATGCTGACGACTAGTGGTGTTCTCACTTCATAGGCTGGAGAATGAGTAGGTGTGTCACTACCTACTCACATGAGATGAGAGAGAAAGTAACTACACGGAACATGGACAAGGATTTTAGGACCGATTGAATAGTCTGAACAACTGATTGACGGGACAAAACCTTAGATAGCTGTTGGCACACAACATGTAAAACGGTGAGATGAAACTCTTGGCGCGAAAGATCACTGCAGCCCCGAATCCGGAGAAAAATCGACCACAACACTCGGAGATAGCAAAATGCTTTGCTCAGTTTGGGAAAGACTTCAATGCCATTGCAGCTCTACCGTTCAGAATACTTCCAGACGAGTCAC